AACACTGTGTTCTCTCCAAGTTCTTCTGTTCTCCGCACAACTGAACTTGCTGAAAGGCTGATACTTCCAAACAAATCGGCTTTCTCAGGACACAAGTCATTTGCTGCTTCCATCATGCACTCTTTGATGAAGTTGCCGTCAGTAAAATAGTACATTCTGTGGATCACTTCCTGTACTGTGAAAGATCTTTCCATTGCCAGGTGTGTTTGTTGTTGGCTGTGGGTAGCAGAACTAAAACCTTCTGTCCGACCTTGAAATGTCAATCCTTAGTCTTCTTGTTATAGAAGTGTTTCTGACTGTCTTTGGGTTTGGCTTCCCCAGTAAAACTGTTTGGATAGGTCCGGTTTAATACTCCTTTCCTGTCCTCTGTTTTGTAAGTCTCCTTCCTCTTTGTCTTGTTCTTGACTTCCTCTTGGGCACTGTCCCAAAGTTTCTGTAGTGAAGGGTTTTTCTTTCATATTTTTACTACCTGGTATGTTTCCTATTACCAAGTCGTATATTGATTCCTTGATACACTTGGCCTCAAGGTCTCCTACGTAATATGGAGTATCCACCTTTATTTTTACTATGGGAAACTTTCTCACTGTCCCATCAATTAACACACACATACATACCTTGTCTGTCATCTGATCATCAGATGCTAGACTGGTTCTCACTGCTGCACTATCATGCACCAGTTCTAGTCATCACTTCAGCACTCCTATGTGGTCATATTATGAGTGGATGCGACACCATCAGTTATGTATTTCGAAAATGAAAGAAAAAAACATTCAGAGTTGCCATAGAAAACACAGACCAGAGTACAATGATAGAGTTTGGCGATGACGCCCTCACTGTAACACCAACAGTGGTTGATACATACAGATCTTTCTTTTCTAAGCTGTATAGTGATTTCACTGGCACCCTGGGAAATTTTAGAGCACAAAGTTTTGGACGTATCACAGGAGATTTAAGAAAACTATTACTTTCCGAGAGTGTCTTCAAATATCACATGCTTCTAGGACTGTGGCAAATTTTCATATGGAAGAAGGCTCCTCAATGTGATCTTGCCTTGCCTGATGCTATTCTGTTTGGCAGACGACTCCTAGATGGATAGTTAGTCCATATTTTAATGGGCATGCCATCTAAGCCACCAGCAACAAAAATGAAGCATTATTTTTAGTGCAGCAAGAGCAAATGCAGAGAGAACTGTTCTTGTGCTGATCAGTGGTGGTGACACGGGGGGGGGGCATTTGTCCCCAAAAGAGTAGGTTTCTAAATGAACTGCAGCCACAATCTAGACATATTTTGTTCACTCTCAGCATTGGCTTCACTGTCAAAACATTTTCATAATGATGAGTCACTTAAACCTCTGGCAGAACATTATAAACTGAACTTGGAAGATTTGTTTATGGAGGTGAAGCAAGCAAAACGAATGATACAAAGGAATAATACAAGATTTGACTCAATTATTGAACTTGCTGAATATTTGAAACCGCTGTACATGGCTTTCACAGAGTTGTTCCAGGGCCTGCAGATTGCCCTAACCCTTCCTGCGAGCACTGCTGGGTATGAAAGCACCTTTAGCAAACTGGAGCTTATAAAAAGTCCACTTCGCATAACAATGGAAGATTACCGTCTTAAAAGTCTTGCAATCTTGGATGTTCACAGACAAAGGATATTAGACATCGATCTTGATGATGCTGTGGATAGAACTGTGGCCAAATTTCCAAACATGCGCATTTAGGATCTATCCTCACTCATAGTTTCTAACTTTCCAAGCAGGAAAACTGAGGAAATTTGAGTTTCACTAGAAACTTTTGTGACAAATATATTATTAAACTTTTCGTATAATTTGTTTCATGAGATTTATATTTTCAGAAATATCATATTGTTTATTATACAGTTGTTTTATCGTGATGATAAAAATATTGATAGATTTTTCCAGTTCGTATATTTCATTTTGCATGTATTAATGCATATAATTTAATATTATATGAACGTGTAATTATTAGCAGGTCTTTGCACTTGTCTTATTATTTCAGAAATTCAGATCAGTATCATCAGTTAATATTATAATAGTAATTTCAGATAGGAAAACACATTCGTTCCAACATAAGTGCCGATAATTGTGCAATGTATCAGAACAGGTGATATGGTGATAGAGGTTTAATTAATATTTTGATCATTTTATTTATATTCCCAAATTACACAATATGTAATTATGCGTGTATTCTATTTGATATTATGTATATTGTTGATTAAAATAGTGTTGCGTCAGCGAGGTCACGTGACTAGTATCACGCCACCCCTTTCTAGAAATATCCTGTTCCATCAAGAATGCCCTATCATTTACTAGATATGTGTTAGTCTTGTTTATATAAGACGTTCACAATGTGACGGAACAACAGAGGTAATGAGTAATGGGGAACTTGTTCTCCCGCGGTGGCCACTAGAGGCGCTACGAGTCCCGGGCCAACAAACCTTCGCGCGCCAGTCGCTGCTGTTGTTGTTTGTAAGGATTACCCCCTCTATTAATTTTACATAATTATCTATTATATGGCAATCAATATACCTTAATTTGAAATAAATAACAATGCAAGTGAAATATATTCTTGAAATGTATTGGGTTGAAATGAAAATTTTTATGCATACCGTAAAATCTCTTGTAAAGACGCACAAAATGCCTCTATATTTTCTGTATTCATACATGTTTTATAGTACACCTTAGTATTTAGAATGCTTCGACAATGTGTTTTATATGCTTATGCATACATTTCTCATAAAATAACAAAGAATAAATGAAAGAAAACAAAATGTATTACAATAACATACGGTTTAGTCTGCATATAGTAGTTACATGACTGCCATATGATGAATTAGTGTTGACATACTAGTAGTCCCTTACATATTTGACCGTCATATTTTTTGTTTCATGAATAAACAAATAATAACTTGATTTCATTTTCCTTTATGTTTTTAGCAAATATAGCATGACTGGCTACTAAATACTATTATGAAATTGCACTATGTGAGTAACTATAAACTAATAAATTAATATAGAACATAAGCTGCCACCGAAACAACAAGGAACAAGCAGATGACATTTTCAATTGCCCTATATGGAAAGAAAATATAAAACTTTCAGTTAAAATTTCACTGAAATGTGTACTTTTGTCAGCCATTAATTGACAATATATCAATGTTGTGTTAGCAAATGGCTTGGCGCTGACAAAGCGACAAGCCATTCTTTAAACCAACATTCATTTGCTTCTGTGTCACATATGTGAGTCGCTAGGCCTCAATGAGTTAATAATGACATTTTCATAGAAAAACAGATACATTAATTTTTTTTACACAATACAACATTGCTGCTTATAAGAATA